TCTCAGATCCAATTGAAATCTCTTAATTACCTACCCAACATGCATAGAACAACGAAATTAGTTCTATATCACAGTCCAACACACCAAAACTTCGATTTTGCTAAAATACTGCCCAACGCACCAGAATGTTGATTTTGTTCAAGGTTCAAATAGGCTTCAATGGTGAAACCAAAGGAAGAAGACGATGGAAAAAAAACTCCAATTTTTTCAATTTTTTATTAAATTTCTTTTAAGTTTCAAATTTAAATTGTTGAAAAAAATTCAAATTTTTTTTTTTTAAATCCAATAATATTAGAATGAGTTTTCTTGTCTTTTCTATTTTTATTAAAGGTTGTGGGGTTACATGAGGTTATTTTGTGGTGTTGTGGTTTGGTATCAAACGAAAAAGTTTTATAAGATTATGATCTTATAAAGCATTACAAATGGTTAAGCGCTGTAAATTTGCAAAATTTATCATTGATTTTGTTACCAATCTAAATCTAGGAGTGAAAATTAGATCTAAGATAAAGTTAATTTTTTATTAAGCATAAATGGGTCGACAAATTTTTTACTAAGCATAAATGGGTCGACAAAGAAGGTGAATTACGAATATACTTTTAGAAAAATGAGTTAATCAATTTTTCTTTTTGCTAAATCCTGGGAATCCGAACATTTGTTCATAATCTTCTCGGTACCCGATAACAGTCTTTGGATATTCCAATTTAAAAAATAACATTCCGTACCAAAGGGGATTTGAACCACAAGATTTGGTGATTCAATCGACTGACATTTAATTGGTGGATACACCGAAGATTTTCTATTGATATATAATTTTTCATCTAAATTTTTATTTAAAACGATAATTGAATTATTCAATATTATTTTTTGTGTGCAGGTGTACAAGTATGTGAAACATTACACTTTTTAATGTATTTGTATATATGCTATTTATTTGTTTAGCATGGTATAAATAAATTTAATTTGTTATTAAAAAATACACTTAGCTAAAACAATAATTGACAATGTTAAAACTAACTTTTCATAATTTTTCATATTTATCGTTTCACAAACAAATGTCATATGTTAATCAAGTGATGTAACAATGAAAAATATCATATGCAGATCGGACATCGAAGAAAAGAACAAAATTTCGATTTTGGTAAAATTATGATCTTTACTCGATTTGCTAAAACCTTCAATTTCCTAACAAAGAACGCCAGTCTAGATACGACCGGAGAGGAAGATGAATTCAAGATGAAATCCAGAGAGAATGGTCTAAAAAACCAAAATGAGACTAAAATCAGTTAGTTCTACGTGCTAGAACGAATTACACACTTAAGTGACAGTCAAACCTTTCTTGAACACCAATACCACTTGACCTGGACTTAAGGTTTTTCAACCCGTACCAATTTCAAGTGTTGTGTTAGTCCGGACAAGACTAATATTATCACTTCACAATATCGATTACTAAAACATGCGATTTACCTTATATAATATCCTTAGCAATCGTTTCGACAAAATATTATAATTTGGCCAGGGCTAGAGCCAAAAGATCATACATATCAAATTTTACAAAAAACCAAAATTCAATCTACTCCGATCATAGCGGTCCTGCACGACCACCCACCTAAT